AGCGCATTGTGGGGCACAGAGCCAGCCTTCAGGAGGTGTAAATAGCGCAGCCACTCGCAGCACTTTGCAGCCCGTGCGCCTCTCCCCGCCGAAGGCAAGTCTGCTAAGTGAGCGGCAGCAGCCCCACAACCCAGCTCTCCGGTTCACTCCCGAGACCCGCACTACTGCACTAAACACTGGAGCTAGGCACTGGCTCTGGAGCCCTCCCCTTTCCCTGGGCTTCAGAGTTGGTGTGCCAGCATTTCCACAGCCATTGTTAATGCTGCGGGGCAAAGCTCACAGCCCTGGACTCAGACGTGCCACGGGGCAGCTGCTCAGCGCAGACACGCCCGAAAGGCCGGAGTTCCAGCAGGAGAAGCACTCCGAAGGAAGGCAGAAGGAATGAGGTCAGCGGGACGCCCTCTGCTCTATCAGTAGCAATATTCGTATTATGACAGCATGCAGAAACCCCACTGTGTCAGGTGCTGACACAGAGGCAGAGGGGGCTTCTGCCCGGAAAAGCTTACAAATTCAGAAGGCGAACAACATCTGGAGCCGGTGGGAAATGGACAATTCTGATCACCATTGTACCTACTTGCTCTTGAGCTTTTTACTGTGTAATATAATAAACAATCAACTTTCCCCAACTATCTCCAGGAGAGGGGAGCAGTAGGACTCTCAAGGAGGGGGGGGTTGTCCCAAAATATGCCCGTAATTTTAGAGGGAGACACTCACAGGCACCCGGAAAGTTCTGTACAGACTGGCCTTCCCTTTCAGGAGAAGATGCACGGGAATTCTGGCTAAGGCCCCTGATGAAGATAGGACAAGAAAAACCAATGTTAAAGCTGGCCCAACACTCACCCCACTTCTCAGTTATTTGGATTGTGCTTGTGACGGCGCGTTGGGGGTTCCCCGTCTCCTGCACCCCGAAATGGCACAAACAGACTTCACCAGCCGGTGGAATAGCGGAAGTTTATTGCCTCTCCAGGATACAGCACAGCACAGATGGAATCTGGTCACAGAGCTGGGCTAGGATGCCTCAGGCCCCCTTGAGATGGGGGAGACTGGGCCCCTAAACTCCAGCCCCTTCTCCTAGGCTCTCCTCCATGCTCTCCCACAGTAACTAACTAAATTCCCTTGCAGCCCTGCCCCCCAGTCAGGGCACCCCCCAGCCAGGGCAGCATTCCACCTTCCTTTGTTCCTCTCCATGGGGGGTGTCTGGCCACTGGTTCAACAAGTTTGGCATTACCTCTGCCTAGCGAGGTTTTCCCTGCTGGGTCTTGCTCCAGACAGCAGGGGTCACCACAGCCCAGCAAGTACCCCCACTACGTCACAGTTCTCCCCCCTCCGAGAGCGAACTGAGCAGGGTCACTCCGCTCGTGGCCTAGGGAAGTTCGGGTCCTCTGCGTGGGAACCCGCCCTGGGGACATGGGTGCTCCCCTTGACTCAGGCCGGCCGTGGCAAGGCCCCACATGAGCTGGCTTCCCTCTGTCCACTCGCCGCCCCGCTCCAGGGCGACTGGCGCAGGCCTGTCCTCGGGGGTCACACCCACCCTTCCGCTGGCCTTGATCTCTGGCCAGGGTCTCTC